GGCAGGAAAAGATGGTAAGCTAAGACACACAGCTCACAACTCACTCAGGAAACATCTTTCCCAGTCTGTTTTCCAAGGAAGTCTATCTGACCGGCCATTCTCACCCAAGACAAAGGGAACAGCCTCCAGGCGCTGCCCAGCTGGCACCAAGCAGGTGTCGGGCAAACGCCGGCTGCTGCCCAAGCCGCCACGCGGATTATTTGGGGCTTTTGTCTAAAAGAAGGCAGAAGCAGGTAGTCGCATCAGCAATCCAGTTTCCAGTCACTCGTTTGTGAGGACGCTGCAGCTAGCTCCTCCGCCAGGCCCAGCTCTCCAAAGAGACTCAGAGAACACGGAGGCCAAGTACTGAGCCCAGCTGGGCCTTCCCGCTCCCCGTCACCACCCCTACCCAGCAGGGCTGTCGCTCATGAAGGAGCTCGAGCTCGGAAAAGTTTAAATGTTTTAAACTTTAAAATTTAAACTCGTCTGAACATCTATTATTCTATACGAGGACCCAAATAAAACGATTTTTTTATTACAAAAACTCGTTCTCACCAAAGAAAAAAAGGACAAAAGAATATGAGAGCAAGGCTGCCGTCAAATGCACTGCGTACAAACACTGGCTCATTTCCACTCACGCGTCTTCTCCCCGACGTGTGAAATCCTGTGTAACTGTCACCACAGTCTAGTAAGCAGCCAGACCCACAGCTGTGCCACCAAAGTTGTAGCATAAGCATTACTGCTTTTTTTTTTTGGAGGAGGGGGAGCAGTTGGGGCCATTCTTGACAGTGCTCAGGGTTTATTCCTGACTCTGCACTCAGGGATCACTGCTGGCAGGGCTTGGCTTGGGGGACCCCATGGGATGCGAGAGATCAAACCTGGGTTGGCCGTGTGCAAGGCAAACACCCTTTCCGCAGTATCGTCTTTCCAGCCCACGGTTTTCTCCTTACCCTCAAAAAACTGCCCAGAGTACAGGGCAGACACAAGACTTTCAAACGAAACTACGTCCATTCTCTTTCTTCTATAGAAACTGCTGTCATAAAAATAGAATTTCCAACAGCCCCATGGGCCCCTGGAACTGAAATGCATGAAAATGCCCAGACATATTGGCAGTGCTTAAGGAAATGCTAAGTGACTCGCCAGTAAGACGATATTTACTACTCATCATCCCTGGAAAGGCAAATTCGGCCTCTGTTCCTGGCAAGTTTTTAAGATTGCTGATTCTTCTGATAAAATGCACTTACATCTGCAAACTAACACCCAGCATAACCCAGCATACAATCACCTTGGCTCTCCGCAGGCAGAGACACCGGACCCCTTGTGAAGAGCAGTGCCTGGCACGTTGAGGGAAACGCAGCAAGCGTCAGCTCTGGGGCCTGAATGCACAGAGGGCTACTTACCAAGAGGCTGGGCACGAGCTGACACTAGGTCAGAGCCGGCAGCGGGGAAAGGCCAGGGTCTGACGTGAGAAATGAACGGCGGGAGCGGGTCACGTACAGAAGCACCGGGATGGTTTGAAGATGAAAGAGAAGACGCACGGGAAATGCTTCTGTAGGTGGGATGCCTTTCCACCAGTGTTTCCCAAAGTGGGGAGCCCTGAAACAGTCCAGGGGTGGCGGCAGCCCAGGGGCAATTAGGAGGCACTTCCTGTTCAATGGCTTAAAGGGCGATTTCCAGGGAGGCACCTGAGTGCAGGAACCTCATTCATTCTACACAACTGGCTCTGAAAACCTGGTTGCACGAACTAACACTCAGGAAACAAAGAAAACACGGAGTGGGGCTGGAGCGATAGCACAGAGGGTAGGGCATTTGCCTTGCACGCAGACAACCTGGGTTCGATTCCCAGCATCCCATAGGGTACCCCGAGTACCACCACCTGAGTGTATGAGCCAGGAGTAACCCCTGTGCATCGTCGGGTGTGACCCGAAAAGGAAAAAGAAAAAGAAGGAAAACACCGAGTGCTCCAGCATTCCTCAGGCTGGTTCTGGTCTCTGGACACTTTCTGTGTCGAGACAAGTGCAAACAGGCAGCAAGTTCAGCATCGGGTCCCCAGACGGATCTCCAGCGTGGGCTCTGTGCCTGCCAGGCCAGGCACTAATAAGTGTGCTGACCACGGTCCTGCAGGCCTCGAGCTACGCCAATGCGTCCCTCTGGATGGCCTGTTGGGTTCAGAGGGTGCGTGGGATTTAAGAACCACATCCAGGGGCTGGAGAGACAAGACAGCGGATAGGGCGCTTTCCTTGCACTTGGCTCGCCTGGCTTTGATTCTGGGCACCAAAAAGGTATCCCCAAGCCCCGCCAGGAGTGACCCCTGAGCACAGTGGGTAAGGCTCAAAAAGACAAAAACAAAAAAAAACAAAAAGATCCACATCCAACTCCATCGGCATCACGCCTATCACCTGACTGGAAGCATTTTAAAAGAGAGAATCTAGGGTTGGAGCGATATGGTACAACAGGTAAGACGTTTGCCTTGGACGCAGTCAACCCAGGTTCAATCCCTGGTACTGTATGTGGTCCTTCAAGCTACCAACAAGTGATCCCTGAGCTCAGAGCCAGGAGTAAGCCCTCAGCACTGTCTGGTGTGGCCCAAAAACAAAAAAACAAAAGGAAGTGAGGGAGGGAGAGGGAGAGAGGGAGAGAGGGAGAGGGGAGGAGGGAATCCAGAGGCTGGGGTGAGTGGCTCCGGGTAGCACTTGCCCCTGTATACTTGAGACCCTGTTGTTGTTCAATTCCTAGCCCCGGCACCTTCCACCAAAAAAAAAAGTCCAATTCATGACCAGGGTGCCACCCAGCAAATTCCATACATCCTAGCTTCATACACTACATAATTCCCTTTCTTTTACCCACTTGTGCTTTGAAAAAACGCAAAGAATTTATAGAGAAGGAATTTGCTAATCTCACATCCCAAGCAGCTGCTAGCTGGATCTACTAAATTCCCAGCTTCTCCAGTTACACTGGGCGGTCATCTCAGGGAGAAACCGTTATGCCTTTCCTAACAGTGCCCTTCCACCTTCTTTTCCCTATAACCCCTTTCTTGTGCCGATGAGCACCAAAGGGTTGCATCAAGGACATGAGCCCACCCTACTCCAACCTGCTTGTTAGAGAGAGAGAGCAGTAAAGCTTCTTCTCGACCTGTCCAAAGGAAAGGGAAGGGGGAAATCTGGTTTATTTCAAAAGAACTGATTTAAGCCTACCCTACTGAGCTGCTAAGAGTAAGTTCCCTGGAACCAAGGGACTGGATGAAGGATCAGAGACTGGATCTAGCGCTGCAGGATGACGCTGTTACTGGTATTCCATTCAGCTTCCCAAGCTCCAGGCATCTCCGAACAAATGTCTGCCTACAGCCACTTTGGGAATGAACAGCTGATGGGTCCCCTGCATACCTCAGGGCAGATGGTCTCACTTTTCTGGGAACACACACACATGGCCACAAACACACGCATGTGAGCACCTGATGATGAAAATAGATAATTCGGAATATGAAAACAACAAAAGGAGCATTTCTAACAAGAATTTCGATAAACGAAGAAATGCAAGTGGAAATTTACTTTCTTTTTCCCAAAATTTCCCTGGAAATCTTGATTTTCAGACTTTGGCTTCCTCACACCAACTGTCATGTCCCCAAAATACAAAGAGTTGGTGTTTCAATTCTCAATGAAATACCTCCCTTGGCAACAGAGGGCTTTGAGAAACCAATGGTAATTATTACACAATCATGCAAAAAGGATTTGCACGACATCTGTAAAGTTGAGCTGCACCTGTCACCAATTCAACAAAAGAATATCATACACACACCACACAGTTCTGAACACCTGATAATTTGGCGTGAAGTGAGCCATGATAAGAGCCCACCGTTAAAGAGAATACTACAAGTAGCCAAAAACTGAAATGACACAAATGGTTGGGCATTTCCAAACTAAGACAGACACTATGGCCTATTATCCAACACGAGCTACTGGCTCTCTCTTCTAAAGTTCTGTTTCTTCATCCACAACAAGAGCAAAAACAATAGTAACAGTCCTTAGCGTTACCAGTGCTACATGAACACACGTTAGACTCTCATAACAGAGCTTGGCAAGAGGCTATAAAGAACGCCTGTATGATGTCAGGAACCAACGACTTCTAAGACAAGCATACTTAAAAGAGCAACTAAAAAAGTCCTCATAAAAATAAAAGGCTCAGCTGCCACGACCTGTGATGAAAGAATAGTTTTTCGACTACTACGGAGTGTTTTGAGCACAAACGAGCAACAGAATAAGAAAGAGCCCCCTGGCTAAGTTCGCTGCTTGGACATCGCTGCTATCTCGCAGCCTGAATCGGCCGCCCTAAACTCTGCAGGCAGAACTGCAGCCGTTAGAATCGAGCAAGTTTGGAGGACCCCCCCCCCCCGTCCGAGAAACCAGCGGCTACGGGAATGCGACCCTCAGCATCTCCCCTCCGCGAACTCCCCGGACGAAGGCCCAGCGCTCCCGCGACAGAGCTGCGGCCCGGGCGGACGGACCCTCCGACAATGGGGAGTTGTTCCGGCACTGAATAGCGCAGTGTCCACGCGGGGCGTTCCGGACACCCCTGTCCCCGGCCGGCCTCCGGGCCCCATCTCCCGGCCGCGTGCGGTGGGGCGCGAGCGGGGCGTCCCGCGCGGCCCGAGGAGGCGCGTCCCCCGGCCCGGCCCGCAGCCCCGAGCCCCGGGGCGCGTGGGCGCAGGCGGCGCGTGCCCGGGTCCCCCCGCCCCGCGCCCGGCAGTGCCCCCCGGGTCGGCGCTGGACGCGGCGCCGCCGGAACCACCGCCCGCGCGGCCGAACCGGGAGCCCGGGGGCGTCTGGCCGCGCGGCGGTCCCGAGGCGCCGCGCGGGGGCCCCAAGCGCCCGGCCCCGAGGCCCGAGTCCCCGCCGGCCCGTCCCCCGCGGGCGCGGCCGTGGGGGTCCCGGGCCGGACACAAAGGAAAGGGAGGGCTCGCCCCACCCGCCCCCACCCCCGGCCCGGCCGGCCCCTCGCTCCGACCGGCCCCGCTCGCGGCTCACCCCGCAGCAGCAGCAGCAGCAGCAGCAGGAAGGCGGCGGGGAGCGGGGCGCGGGGCCCGAGCCGCAGCCGCCGCCTCAGCGCCATGTCGCGGGACTGAGGGGCCGCGGGCGCGCGGCGCGGCGGGCTGCCCCGCGCGCATGCGCCCCGCCCCGGGACCCTGCCGCCCGCCCCCGGGTACCATGGCGACCGCGCGGCACGGCGGAGCCGTCCCCATGGCGACAGAGCGGGCGCGACGTCTGGTTGCCATGGATGCAGGGATGCTCCGGGCCGGGCCGTCCGCGGGGTCTCTCGTGAACTTAGTGGCAGCAGGGACAAGGAGAGCGAGTGCTCGAGAGTGGAGCGGCGAAATTTTCATAGCCGGGAAAGCCATCCATTCCATATCAGAAGAGGAACGTTCGATAAGCGGTGGGGAAAGGAGAGTCCAGCGGGCAGGGTGCCTGCCTTACATGAGGGCGACCAGAGTTCATCGCCGGCACCCTATGCGATTCCCCTGAACCTGCCAGGAGTGATCCCTGGCGCACAGCCAGGAGTAATTCCTGAGCACCACTTATATTAGAAAAAAAGATGGGAAGAAGAGGGTTTTTTATTTTACATAAGAATACCACCCGCTTATCTTGGAAGCATTGTTGCCAGTACCTCTTCTGAGACCCCCAATTCCAAATATCTTGGAAGTGGAAAGCGCTGAAATTTGAATCACAAGCAAAGCATACATCATGCATTACATAAAAGTGATGTCTTTCTAAGATAAACATAATTGGTGTCTGTGATAGATCAAAAGCAGGATGGTGTACTAAGAGTTTTTCCTGCTGAAAACAGGCTGATTTATTTTTTATCTATTTCTATTTTTATATCTAGTTTCTGAATGTTGGAAATGGTCGTGCTGGGGGGGGAATGGAGCAGAATGAGGATCAGATAAGATTTAGAGAAGGGGGGCTGTAGAGATAGTACAGGTGGTAGGGTGTTCGCCTTGCACTTGGCTGACCCGGGTTCAATGCTCAACATGTTACATAGTCCCCTGAGCCTGCCAGAAATCATTCCTGAGTGAAGAGCCATGAATAAACCCTGAGCAGGGCCAAGTGTGGCCAAAATAGAAAGAAGGGAAAGAAAGAAAGAAAGAAAGAAAGAAAGAAAGAAAGAAAGAAAGAAAGAAAGAGGAAGGGGAAAAAAGATAAAAAGCGAGAAAAAATATTGGAAATTGACCTTAAGGGTGTAGGTCACGAGCAGCCTCTCTGGCTCCTGATCAAGCTGCTTAACGGCCACGATCCAAGAGACTCAGGAACAAATCTCGGAACCCAGCAGGTTTTGGCAGAAATCCCTCCACATTTAATTGTTAAAATTTCGGAATTCCAAAATTGCGCAGCCACTACTGCAGCCGCACAAGATCATATGTTATTCATAAGCAGAAATAGAAAACAAATTGTCTACTGTTGCCTTTTCGGTAGATCTGAGTGTTGAGGTAAAAATCCCAAATGATAATGATGGGTCTGGTGTCGAAGTATTAAATGTAATCAAAGTGGAGAGAGAGTGCAATGTGGAAGTCATCTGCCCCATAGATAGGGGGAGGGTGTGGGATGGGGGGTATCCTGGGGGTTTTGGTGGTGGAAAATGGGTACTGGTGAAGGGATAGGTGTTTCATTGTATGACCGAGACTTAAACCCAAAAGCTTTGTAACTGCTCTCATGGTGATTCAATAAATAAAATTATAAAAGAGAGGGGAAAAAAAGTAAGGTGGAGTTCATGCCCAATTCAATCAGCCTAATCAATGGCTGAATAAATAGCAATACTCCTACATAAAAAAAAAAGAGTGTGGGTCACAAGCCCTTGCATGAAACCAACCCCAGTTTGATCCCTAGCACTGTGTATAGTCTCCAAAGCACCACCAGGGCCATACCTGAGCACAGAGCTATTAGGTGTTGCTCAACTCCCCCTCTCCTTCCACCCCCCCCCCAAAAAGAGAGTGCAGGTGGTTGGTTTTAAAGTATTATTTAGACAGTGGAAGAGTTTTGAGATATCTGGCATTATCTCTGATGTGTAAAACATACCCCCTGTACCTCAGTAATACAGCACATCCCTTGCAAATGTGCAGCCTGCCTCCATCTCCAGCACCAATTTTTAAGTACATCTCTGGGCCAAAGAGATTGTAGAATGATTAAGGTACTTGCCTTGCATGCACCCAAATCTATTTCAATTTATGGCAGCTTATTTGGTACCCCAAGCCAAGCAGGAGCAATCCCCAAGCAGGGGCACAGCTACTGTGGCCCCCCCAAATTTTTTTAGTCTATCCCTAATGCTCCAGGAAACAACAGAGTGAAACAGAATTCTGAGTAGAGTTACTAATAAAACGTGCTGGGTTTTCCAACAACCCATATTTTAATATTTAGTTTAAAGACATTTTATAGTCACTCTATCTTTTTAGTATAATTTTTACAAAGTTGAATGTGTGTCTGTTTGTATATATATACATATGTATTTACAAATAAATTTGCATACACACTAAATTATATGAATAGCTATGAGTGCCAAGAAATGAGAAATAGATTGAGGGTGTTGCTAAGAATACACATCAACTGTCATCACTACATTTTTATTAATCTGTGTAACACTCAGACCCCTTGAAATGTTAATTAATTTCATTCCCCCCAAATCTCAGAGTCAGCAAAAGAAAAAAAAAGGCTCACTCATCTATTATATTTGTTTTTCCTTTCCTAACCTTTTGTTCCAGTTTTCCATGTTCCAACCTCACAAGTAAAAGTATCTGATGATCTCGCTCCCTCCATTAAACACACAGTAGTGACATTCAGAAAGAAGGCAATTCCCCTTCAATCCCTGACCTTTTCCCTTTCTGCTCATTCTTCTCTCTCTTATTCCCCTTAGCTCCTGGTGCTGTGACCGGGCATACATGCCCCTAGGAAGGAACCGTAGAAGTTGGCTGGCAAATGTGTCTCATGGACAGAGCATAGTTTTTCAGTAACCAGTATTGTTCTTTCTGCTGATTTTCTGCATTTCCAACATGAGATGGTTCTGTGAAATGGTCTGTTAGGCAAGGGAATCACTTGAAACTCAAAACCAGAGCACAGAAAGTGACAGCATGAATATTCTGTACAGATTAGAGATGCCTGAAAAAGAGTGAGGGGATCTCACTGCAAAACATTGACTTTACTGCATGAATGGAATCCACATGCGCCCCCATGGCTCAGACACCATCCTGAGACACTGCACTGCCCCAGGACAGGAAGGATGCATTTAGCTGCTCCTTGTAATTTCACTGTTCAGACAGAAGCTGGCACTTTGGATGTGTTTAGTGACTGAGCTAGGAAGTTTCTGTCACTGCATTATCCAGCTGAATATATACATTTCTGATGTGAAGACTGACATGGCTTGTTCGATTTCTGTGTCTCTCTTTTCTCTCTCTTTCTTTCTTTCTTTCATTCATTCTTTCTTTCGTTTTCTCTCTTCTTCCCTTCCTTTCTTCCTCTTGCTTTCTTTTCTTCTTTCCTTCTCTCTGTGAGTCAAACCCAGAGCTTCACACATTGATATTAATTGCCATTAAGAGATGCATATAACATGCATGAGAAACCATTATTAACAGTATTAGAAACCAGGCTGGAGCAGCAGTACAGTGGGTAGGGTATTTGCCTTGCACACAGCCAAGCGCATTCCAATCCCTGGCATCCCATATGCGCCCCTCTCCCAAGCACCACCAGGAATAATTCCTGAGTTCAGAGCCAGGAGTAACTCCTGAGCATCGCCAAGTGTCACCCCACCCCCCCCAAGTAAAAACAGTATTGAAGAATTTCAAGAATTTCAGAATTTCAAGCAATAATAATGATAAAGAAAGATGCACCTTTTTTGGATGGGGAAGCACACCCTTCAGTGCTCAAGGCTTACTCCTGGCTCTATGCTCATTTCTGGCAGGCTCAGGGGAGCATATGGGGTGCTGGAGGTGAAACCCAGGTTTTACAAGTACAAGGCAAGTGCCACGCCCGCTGGCTCCATCTGAGATGCACCTTTCAGTAAAGAGCTCAGGGAATTAAATGCTTGTGCTCAACTTGAACAAAAGGATCTGCAATCCTTTTCAATGCCAACACAAAGCGCACATCAGGAGATCCAAGAGAAGTAAGTCCTGCTATGAGGCTTGCCTTCTATGGAGGAGGGAAGCCCCAGGGACACAGTGGAAAAGTTCACCTCTGTGCCCTACCTTGGATTCTTTGTCTGAAAAAAAAGAAAAGTAATTACAACACCCACTTCAATGACCAGCGATATTGACAACTGAAATATACTAGGATCTTAATTAACATCTACTCCCTTTCTGACTCTTTTTGCCCAAATCTGGCAAAATGGTTATAAGCTGCCTGAGGTGGAGGGTCTGAGGAGCAAGAGCTAAGGAGTTTCACATCATCGTGTAGTTATTCTCTTACTATAACTATATTCTTATTTTTCGTATGTTTATTTGTTTTGATTTTGAGTCACATCAGCAATGCCCAGGGGTTCAGTCTGTGTTCAGGACTGACCCTGGCAGTTCTCAAGGGATTCAAACTGGGCTCTGCCTTATGCAAGGCAAGCACCTTCAACGCCATCCTCACTCTAGCTATTCTTCTTTAGTTATTTTTGATCAGGAGCCACACCTGGCAGTTTTTAGGGCTTATTTCTGGCTCTCACTTGGGGATCACTCCTGGGAGTGCTCTGGAGACCATATGTGGTGCTGTGGATCAAACTAGAGTCAGCCACATGCAACGCAAGCACTTTAATCATTGTGCTGTCTCCCTGGCTCCAATTCTTATTTTTTTATTTTATTTTGCTTTTGGGGTTACACCCAGTGATGCACAGGGTTACTCCTGGCTCTACACTCAGAAATTACTCCTGGTGGTGCTCAGGGGACCATATAATGCTGGGAATCGAACCCAGTCAACCGCATGCACAGCAAATGCCCTACCCGCTGTGCTATCACTCGAGCCCTCAATTCTTATTTTTTAAATGGGTCACCCAGCAGTGCTTGGGGCCATCACTGGCAGTGCTTTGAGCCAAGCATCAAACCAGGAGTTGACATGTGCAAGGTGCTGAGCCTCTAGCTGGCCCTTGATGTT